ATTTTTTTAATACAAATTTAATATTTTTGATATATATATATATATATATATATATATATATATATATATGTATCTTATGATAGCGTTCCAAATGCATTAGCCTAAGAGGTTGTACATTTTACGAGGTGGATGCATGTGAATGTATTATTAACAAACATTCGTCAAAATTTCATCACGTTTAACGCCAGACATAGCAAGAATCTTGCAGAAGATAGCAATAATTTATTTACACCAAAATTTAAAAAAATTAAAAGTGACAGAAAAAAAAAGATTAGCATCTCTGAAACAAATTAAATAAATAGATTTGCAGACATGTCGTAATTAAAGTAAAAAATAAAAGTTTGCTTCATGTTAGATGCAACAATTAATTAGGACTTTGGCAAATAATCTCATAATAAAGACTTAAACAGACTCATAATCAATTAACTGATCAGCTCATAGATTAGGTGAACTTAAACATATATTAAATTAGTTAGAGAAGTAGTTTCATGATTTGTTAGAGAAAAGTCAAATAAAATCAACTAAATCACAGCTATTATATTGCTCATTGTTCATAGTGCTACTAGTTTTTGTCCTGCTTCTGTTTTGCTTAATTTAATATTTATCCCCTGTTTGTTTGTTTGTTTGTTTATTTGAGTAATAACTTTCTTTTGTCAAAAAACAGAGTCGGAATTTTAGTTTTATAGATTTTGAATTTTAGAATAAAAGTTTTCAGTGCTAGTAATCGGATTTTAATATATACTCCCTCCATCTCAAATTAAGTGTTGTCTTGACAAAAAATATATCTATTTAAAAATCAATAAATACGATGTGTTGTTTACTTAACTATCTTATTTAATAAATATCTTTTAAAAATTGAATACCATTAAGAATATCCAGTATAATTATTAGAAAAAAACATATTAGTTTTTGTCTTGAATTTCTAAAGTGACACTTATTTTGTAACAGAAGAAGTATATAAATAATTTTTCTATTGTTAGCCAAAGTTATTGAATTGTGTCGAATCTAATATAGCTTCTCTCTCAGCAAAAAGGGGCAAGTATAGTTACCCAACCCACTCAAATATCTTTCAAATTCAACTTCAATTCCCTTGTGCTGCTTTTTCTCCTTAGTATTATAAGTACCTATAGACTTATAAGAAGATAAATCAAAGAGGTTATTTGAGAGAAGAATATGGCAGAAAAACTAGTGCATAAATCATGGATAATTCAATATAATTTGCATTCTATTTTAGGATTCTTCCTCTTGTTCTTTCTTTCTGTGTCTTTTTATCTTATAGGAGATAATAGTGATGGTGTTAGTTTTCTAGCAAATAAATCTACAAGGAAAAAATCATCTCCAAAATGTGATTTGTTTTCTGGAAGTTGGATTTTTGATAATGTGTCATATCCTTTGTACAAAGAACAACAATGTTCTTTCATGCCTGATGATTTTGCTTGTCACAAATTTGGAAGAAAAGACTCAAAATATCATTATTGGAGATGGCAACCTTATCATTGTGATCTTCCAAGGTACCATACTCAAAAAATTCTCTTTGATTTCCTCTTTTTTGTTTTCTCAAGGTAAGGGTAAGTCTGTGTACGCTCTACCCTTTCCAGACCCCACTTGCGCGACTATACTGGGTATGTTTCCTCCCAAGGTAGGGGTAAGGTGTCTATACACTCTACCCTCCCCAGATTCCAATCATGGGATTATACAAAGTATGTTGTTGTCATTTGTTGAATTTAATTTTTAAATATGTGTGTTGTAAGAGTGTAGGTTTAATGCCAAGGGATTATTGGAGAAGCTAAAAGGGAAGAGAGTGTTGTTTGTTGGGGATTCATTGAACAAGAATCAATGGGCATCTATGGTATGCTTAATTGAATCCTCTGGAATTCCATCTCTCAACCCACCTATATGGAAAGGCAACTTAATCACCTTTGAGGTCAAGGTAATTACACTTAGTTTTTTCATTTGCTCGAATTTGAATCACGATCTCTCATGATTTTTATCTCACTTTATTTACCGCTAGGCCATACCTTGGACTCACAAAGCAATTAGCCTTTTCATCAGACCTTACTATATTTTGTTTGATTTGGTTTATTAAAATGGTATTATACATGAAAATGGTGCACTTTGAAAGAAGACAAACCAAATCCACAAAATTTGTCAACATCACTAATTCAAATGGCAAATACTGTATTCCATGCATTGTATGTGTCTGATATTAGAGTTTGTTAGAGATGCCTAAAATTGCATGATTGTTAGGTGGTTAATCAATTCAAATAAGATAAAATATTTTTCCCAAAGAAAAATTCTTGCAATTTGTTGTATAAAGTATAAACCAAGACAGAGACATTTATGATGTGACTATAAGAGGTAAATGAGAATCCACAGTGCAGTTGAGACTGCTTCACCCTTAACCAGATGTCTCGAGTTCGAGCCCTGAGTATGAAGAAAATCATGTTGGGAGAGTCACCCCCCGAATGGGCCCTGTAGTGTGCGATTCATAGAGAGTGGTTAATATCAACTAGCAAAGAGTTTGTTATTTCAAGAGAAATATTTCTTCGGTTGTGACGCTAAAGTTTTTCATTTTCTAATATGATTAAGGAATACAATGCAACAATTGATTTCTACTGGTCACCATTGCTAGTAGAATCCAATTGTGATGATCCGGTGAAGCATCGTGTCCGCGATCGAATTATCAGAGTTGAGGCCATTGAAAAACATGCTAGGCATTGGATTGATGCAGATATTCTCATCTTTGATTCCTTCACTTGGTGGCTTGAATCACATATGACACTTCAGTAAGTCTGTTTTTTCACACCAAAATAAGTACTCCTTTAGAATTCACATTTTACACAAACATTTCATATTTGGAATTAAGTTATATACACTGACAATTGTAAAGATCTCGTAGTTATAAGTAACATGATGATTGTTGTCTCATTTTTTCCATGCCAACTTTACACAGATGGGGATCATTTAACAGCTCCGATGCAATATACAAGAAGGTTGAAATGAAGCTACGACGTTATGAGATGGCCTTAAGAACATGGTCAGATTGGTTGGAGTTTCAAATTGAAAGAAAAAGGACTAAATTGTTCTTCATGAGCCTCTCGTCTTCTCACAAAAAGTACGGTAACAACTATATTCTTTGTCCAGTTCTAGTACAAACAACGAAAGATTAATCCTTTTTGTTGTTACATGCAGCGGTACAGATTGGGGCAGGGGAAATGATCAAAATTGCTATGACGAAACAGAACCAATATCAAGAAGAGAGTATTGGGGGAGTGAAAGTGATAGAAAGATGATGGAAATAGCAGAGGACTCTGTAAATGGGCTGAAGAGAAAGGGATTAGACATACAATATCTCAACATAACACAACTCTCCGAGTATAGAAAAGACGGACACCCATCCGTTTACAAGAGGAATTGGGTTGCTCCAACAAAAGAACAACTGTTAAATCCAAGGAAAAATTCAGATTGTGTACATTGGTGCCTTCCTGGTGTGCCTGATGTTTGGAATCAGATTCTTTATGCCTATATCATGGATTCGTCAAGAGAATTAAACGAATAGAGATTATTATTTTTTATATGAAAAAAAATAATACTATAATTGTAATGATATATGTTATTTTTTGTGCATAGAAGTCTTGAAATGTATGAAGTAGTTCAACAAGATTTACATTAATTGTTATACACATTGAGAAGCAGTTGATGTTTCAACAAAAGCAGGTGAAGTTGAAAGAAAGAGTCATTACAAGATAGTTAAAAAAAGATTTGATAAAGAAGAAGGATTCACTATCTCATTAGTTCCAATACCTTTTTAGATGGAGCTCAGAAGAAAATGGAGTTTGTAAAAAATAGATGGATTAAAAGGCATGGAACTGGCCATGGACGCATGGGGAAATTGGATAGAATCCAATGTGAATGTAATGAAGAAGCAAGTCTTTTTCCTCAAACATTTATCATTATGTTAACAAGGAAATGGTGGTAAGGAATGTTAGTTAACGACTTGATCCATTACAGAAACAAGACTTCATATTTTTCCAATGTACAACCAAGACTGCTGTTAAGTTTCTAGTTCATTTGAAACAAGAAATTTTCAGTGCAGTTTCTTTTTTAATTTAGTGAACTTCCATTTTTTTTTATACAGCATGGTTCTGGCAAATAATAATCAATTCCTTGCCTTGTGCATGATATGAATTATATGAAACAATGCACAATTTCGATCATAGAAATCAGCAAATCGTGATTGTAACCACTAACCAATATCAAAATACATAGTATATAATATTGCTTTATGAAAACTTGGACAATCTAATAAGCACAATGAGAAAGGCCTTGAAAGATGAACAAAATACAGAAACTACATACAGTCTAATTTAGCGGCAAAATAGATGATTATATTACTCTTGGAAAGGAGTTTGCTTAAAATCCTTCAGAAAATCAAACCTACCAAACTTGAATTTTCTTGTCTTACATGTTTGAATCAAGCAATCTTTAAAAGATCGAGTTCAAACTAATAGCAAGAATTGCGCAAATGAGAAAAATTACCAAATTCAAGCAACAGTCTTAACATAATTTGTTGGAGTCACTCAGCAGTTGCAAGTTCATGAGCTAATACAATAAATAGTGCTGACTTGTAGTCTCAAACATAAACTTAGTAGATGATGCATAACTTTGCTAACGAGAGGATTTTGAGTTTTCATTTGTTCATTAACAAGAAATAACATGGTCACAGATGAATATGATCGTGACAATTAAACAATCTTCGATCTTAAAATTTAGGAAAAATATAAAATACAACATAGTGATCACAAATTTAGGTTAGAATAATCATACATTGATTTGATAGATTCAGTTTGAAGTCACTTGATATAGATATGCATATCATATTTGACAGATTGCTTCTTTAATCTCAAGTACACATTAGATAGATAAACTATATATTCAAATAAAAATTATACTATATTTCCTTTGTCCTAAATAACTATTTTTGCTATGACAAAAAATAGTTAAGAAGAGAGTGATAGAGTCAAATTGACGTCAAACACTTCAGCAGATGACGTCAGTGAACCTTCTGGCCTACCTTTCTCGGATTCCACCTTGTTCATCTCAACCTCACACTTACAATAATACTCTCCATCTTTGATTTGATCTTCACATTTACAGTAGTCTTCATCTTTGGTTTGATCTTCCATAGAAACTTGAGCGGAGTCTACATCAATCAATCTTGGCAGGTCTTTCACTGGATCCTATGAGGTTTTAAATAATACAAAGTCGTCAAGATATTCTAGCACAAAATAAGTCTCATATAAGAAATGACGAAACATGCTAGTGTTAAAGCTAGTCACTGCCTAAGGAAGGTCAATATGGTTGCATATCATCTGGTAAAATTGGCAAACTATAGTCGGAATAGCCAAGTTTTCAACTCTTTTCAGTATTTGTCCAATGGTGAAAGAGCTCTTATCAACTGGACACAAGCCAACTGTCATCCATTAAAGTCAGATCCGACAAGAGAAACTTCTTTATTAGCATGTAAAAATGCACTCAAAAGCTTACATACATGTTTGAGAAACCAAAAAATGTCAATCGTTCTAACATGATTTCTCTTTTGGAAAAGGTAAAAATAAAATCATGATAAATCACTTTGACACCAAAAAAGTGAGTAGTACCAAATGTTTTCATTTTCAAATTAGGCAAAACATTGATGAACAAAGTGAAGAAACCATAGCAGAAGAGTGTTCATCCTCACCTTCCCGTTAATGGTGCCATCTTCTTCAACGTGCCATCCAGCTTCCTTACATAGAGCAATGAGAAGATCATTGGTGTCAGCATGCTTTGGAAGTTTGTAGTTTCCATGAGCTCGTAGTCCAGCAAAGATTTTGTGAGCTACTCTTCGGCGATTTTTCTCCCTTTGCTTATTTTTTTGTCGCTCTCTGTCAGATGGATAACGGAACCTAGTCACAACACTGCCATCTTTGGCGGTTCTGTGAACCAACCACGGCCCTCTGCTAGTTTTTATGCATCCTCTAACACCACTAGTTTTCTTATCTTCCACCATAGTTATGAGTTATGCTTCCACTTTTAGTTTGTTCAATTTTTTTTGGTTATTTTCTTTAGTTCTAGCTAGAGTAGTTATTTATAGTAGAAAATAGACAGCATATAGACAAATTAGGACTACAACAAAGTGGACAGAATATATTCCTCCAGTTTGGTGTGAGTACTATGTTAAGTACTAAATTCCTTTCTTTTTTTTAATTTCAAAATATTTTATACAAAACATTAATGTATGAGCAAATGAGATAATATTATTTTGGTGAGTTTTTTTAGTTAGTCTGAGAGTTCTCAGGACATTGACAAGTGTCCAATATACATGTACAATTATTGTTTCTCGTCGAAAAGTACTACAAATCATAATAATTAATAATTAAGATATTTAAAAAGACATGAAAACATTATTACAGCCAAAGATAAGCTCATTTAAAACTCAAAAATGGGGAAGTGTTTTATAAATTGGGATTAAAAGAATAATTAGGTATGATAGAGTACTACAAGTCATAATATTAATTAATAACTCAATATATTTAAAAGACATACAATCAAAGATCAGTTCATTTGAATCTTGAAAAATTTAAAAGTATCATATAAATCAGAACGGGAGGAATAATTAGTTAAGGTAGAATATTTTCTTAATAGTAAAGCTAGTGGAGACAGTAAAACCAAATACTTGTATATATATTTGGATAAAAAAACAAAAAAAAAGCATGGAAAATTGGCAGTGGAGATATTGCATGCAGATTTATGCCTTTTCAGCCTCTTTTTTCACTTGGTGTCTGGTATTCAAATTGGAATCGACTAAATTTGAGTTTACGTAGAGAAATCCCACATTTAGGGACAGAGTAATTTCTAATAAAGTCGACTTCATATTCGGGAGACTTGAATTTGAGATCTCTCATCAAGGATAAAGGAGTTCTTACTACTCTATCGCAATCCTTGTTGGTACTTTTTCAGTCATATTCGTTGTTGTCTAGACATTAATTCAGGTGAAAGTACAATATTTTTTCTGAAATTTTGATCTTCTGTTCCATTTTGTCCAAATGGTCACATATATATGGGGAATCAAAGAATAAATATAGTACACTATACAGCCTTCTTTTTGTCTTCTGATTTCCCAGACAAAAAGTAATCTCTTTTAATCATAAAACTACAAGTTTGGATCTTTATATACAACAGTAGTATATATTTTGAAATGTTATAAAAAATAAGCTTTTTACTTTATCTTTCTTTGTTTACAATCAATTCATGTAACAAGCCCAATTGAGTTATGTGACAACTCGATCAATCTCATTTTTTTCTACAGCAAGTTTAGCTGAGTATATTAATTCGTACTCTTTTTCTGGTATTGGGGTCTCGACTAATTTGGGTGAGGTCCATTAGACATAAAAAGCACACCTATCAGAATTGTTTTATACTTCTAGAGACCTCTAATTAAGTATGAAAAAAGATTGTATTTTTCCACCATGACCTACGATGGTAGTACAATTCCTAGTCAATAATAATTGAACTAGTGTCTAAGTACTCTTATTAACATAAAAAAAATTGTGTATATGTAGTAGATGTTGTATTTCTTTTGACTTTTTCATATATCGAACTCTCTTTGAGAAAATTCTGACCGTCAGTGTTTATAAATAGTAATAATAATGATGAAGAATACGATGAGATCAAATAATTCAAATAGAATATGTATGTTAATACTAATTAAGTTTGAATGCAAAGCAAAAGCTAATAGACGGAGGCAGTAATATCCCCCGCAACCGCCCCGTCAGTGGCGTATATATAGCTCAGAATGGTTAATCCATCTTTTTTCAAAAAATTATACTATATAAAAAAATTGTACAAAGTATATAGGTTTAAAAATATTTTTCATACGTATAAATTAAAAGTTGGACACCTTTAATAAAATTTTTGACTTCACCACTACACCTCGCCCCATTTTGTCACCCCTAAACGGAGGCAGTAATTGCCCCCGGCTGCCCCGCAACCGCCCCGCCCCGCCCCATTTGTCACCTAGACGGAGGCAGGAATATTCCAAATAATTCCCTAAAATCTCTTTTTAATAGTCAGAAAAGAAGTAAGAATTATTTAAAATTGAAGGATGTGGTTAAATAAAATGATTAAAATATAATTCTAAATATTTCCTTTTCAATATATATTCCAATGTTGCTTTTGGAGATTTGCTCTTTTAACTAGTATGAAAAAGCTATAAAAAAGATAAGAAAAAAAAAAGGTTCTGATTTCTGAAAAAAGAATGGTGAGAAAATAAGTTATTAAACTTTCTATTGGATCTCAAAAAAGTAACCTTTTATATGAAAGAATCTTCTCTTGCTTTCTCTTTAACAAAACAAGGGAAAAGCTACTTTTAAAATTTTATCATTTCTTATTGTTTATGTTAATTTTAAATAAATATATTCCATTCCTTTTCATTTATAAAAAATCTTGATTACTTTGTTCTCAAGTTGAAGTTTTGTCTGTTCAGCTATAATTGGATTTGAATATATAAAAATGGTTATGATTATTTTTAAGAAAATATGGTCGTGTCGTATATACCATAATTGTGTTATGGGTCAAAAAATATTTATGTATAACCTGCCTTATTCCTTACTATTACAAAATAATATATTCTATGGGGTTTAGAAAGATTAGAGTGTATATCGATATTAAAAAAATATTTTCAGAATAAATTTAAAAAATATAAGAATGAAAAAGACCGATGAAAATAAATAAGTTATGGTGGTTTATAATTAACCATAAGTTATCTCTAGTATTTACTTTAGTATTTTATCTAAACGGTGATCATTAGAATTAGTTAGATAAGATTTAGCTCTCCTTACTTGTAATTAAAAAAAAATGTGTTCATATAATTTGGTCCACTTTGTAACATCATTATTGTATTGTATATGTTATATACATATTGTAAAAAAAATTAATATATGTGTTTAGTGAATTTTTACAATATATATATATATATATATATATATATATATATATATATATATATATTGATTGTATCAAAGAAGAAGAAACAGTGCTTCAATGGAAACACTACTCAATTACTCCTTGATATCATATATTCTGATGACATTAAGGAGGAAGCGGCAGTGTTTTAGTGAAAAAGCTACTCAATTATTGTTTGATGTCATCACAGTATATAAATACCATCATAGTATATATATATATATCCAATAAGAATAAATATATTGAGTTGGGTCCAATTTTAAAAAATTAATTTGCCTAATGGGTAGTTTTGTCTAAAAAAAATGAAAAAAATAATCTTAATCATACAAATCAGCCAAAGAAATACACTACGTACCAAGATAAGCCCATTCTGAAAAGGCCCATTTTTGGCTAAATGAAGCCCATCACTTAAAAAAAATATAACTTACATAAATCCCATAGTGTAAAATCTAAATTACCTTTTATCCCTATTTTTTTTCTAATTACACAAATCCCATGTTTTTTAGACATTTCAAATACATAATTAAGGATCCATATACATTATTGTTGATACATTATGTATCAATTTGTTGCACTTATTAAGGAAAAAAAAGTTGAAAAATAAAATTAATATCTCATAGTATCCATCTGTTGCACTAATTAAGAGGGGGGAAAAAAACTGAAAATTAAATTAAGATCCTATAAATTGCGCTATTTCATTCCAAATTATTGTCAAGAATTCAATCATATAGTGTAACTAATCAAAAAATTCAAAAATTAAATTTCTTCTTCTTGTTCATCGTTCTCCCTGTTTCATAAAAACTTTTGTCGAAATTTTGGATAAGCGAGGTGAGTTATGAAGAATACAAAAGTGATAGAATTGTTGTTGGACAAATGATTTCTTTTGTGAATCTTCAAGTTCATCGAATATCCTTTCGATTTTGATTCAAAATTGTCGAAAATTTTGAGATTCAAAATTCTTCTCCCAGTTCATTGAACATCCTTTGAAAATTGTGAGTTTTAAAATTATTCTCCTAGTTCATTGAAGATCCTTTCAATTTTGATTCAAAATTATCGATAATTTTAAGAAGATACATCATGAAGATCCTTTCAATTTAAATTAATAAGTGTTGTATTTCTACTAGATACATTAAATAAGAAAGTGTTGCTCATAAGATTTTAAGTTTGAGATCGATACATTATTGTTTAGTAATTGTTATGTATCAGATACATTTAGTATAAATTCAAATTTACGTATCATAATTAAAAAATTAGTACATGATACATTATTATTTATGTATCTTATTATGTTTGAGAAATACTAATTTAAAATTTAAAAATACATTATACATGTAATTGTTCCAAATTAGCTTCTTTTGTGTGTGTGATGCATAACACAAAGTTTATGTATCAAGTACATTTATATTGAACATGATAAACACTAATCGAAGATTCAACAACATTAGAGTTATGTATCAATACCTTAAATATGAACATGATACATTGCATAAAACAAAGGTTATTGTAGCAGTGATGTATCCGATCAATGATAACACTAACAGAGACTAATTTAAGACTCAAAATAAACGAGATACATTTAAAATATGTATCTTTAATAGTGATGGTCGTGCAATGGCAGATCCAACTTTTTTCTTCTTTTTTGGACGTTTTTCATCAGTAGATACATTAAAAGAAAATAAATATTTTTCAACAAAAATTTTCAACGACGATATGATTAACTAAAATTGCAAAGGTTCAATAAGATTTCAATGGGGGAAGGGGGCGGAGGTAATTTTTTTTTAAGATGAAAAAATTAAAAAATAATACTAAAAGAAATCGAAAATTGAAGTGATGGAAAGAAATCTACCTCTTGAATAATTTGTAATCATTAATCGAAATTAAAAAAGATTTGAAATTCAAAGATAGATTAATTGATGTAATTATGGAGAGATTTGTGGCGTGAAAAAAGGAAAGAAAATATGGGTATAAGATTTCAAATTAATGTATCCGGAAAAGGGGATGATGGGAGGAAAAGAAGAGATTTTTGATATTTTTTGAAATGGTAGGGAAAATAAGAAAATATGATAATAAATG